ATGGCAGCCAGGTGAACCCATATGCAAGGTGTTTTACAGGAGAATTGAGGACATTGTCCGTCTCCTCAGTGCACCCTGGGAGTGTCTAGCACATTACAACGCAGTCCAACACATGTGCTAAAATTGTCTTCACATTCCTGTATCTTCTTCGTCTCCCAGCTGCCTTTGCACCATTTTAACTGGACAAAGGTCTGTTGTATTTTTGGGGTTGGTTTTTCATTTTGGTTTGGTTTGTTTTGTTTTTTTTTTTAAGTACAGCAAAACAAACAATGTGAAGAATGCTTTTCCTAGAGCCCGACTCTGCGGAAAGCTGGTCTACTCTTTGGTATGAAAGTAAGCTGCTCAGTGTGGACTGCAATAACAAGCTATGTTCCTAACCCTCCTTTAGGTTTTATTCCTAAAATCATGATATGGGAGGAGATATTTATGAAGGTTGGATGGTTACAACTGTTTTGAAAGCTTGCTCCGAGATTGACTTTGGTTGATGACATTCATCTCTAGAATCAAATCTAACAAATAAATAAAATAGCAGCACTGTATAAAAGGCTTGGTAAGCCATTCATCAAAATATGAGAGAACCATTATATTCTCAGATACACCCACATAAATACGGCAGGAAAAAAAGTATAATCTGTTTCAGTAAGACTATTCATATCATTCAATCTGGACACCTGCATATGACAAGTTAAGAAAATTAGGTCAGGTAAGTACAGAAGCTGTGGCAGATTCATTTTAACACTTCCCAGTAGAATTTACTCTAGCCTGACACCAAAGCAGATCAACCCAAAATCTAATCCACAAGAGACTATGTAAAAAGCAAGATTTCAGACAGAAAATTGTGGAGATCGGGTGAAAATGACACTGTTCAAACAAATGTTAGGAGACAGAATTTCAGCTAGCAAATAAAGCAAAAAACCCAACTCAACTCCACGGACTTCAGGGGAGCAACCCCAAACATCATCAGCTAGGAATCTGGCACTGTCATAAAAAAGGTTTAGTCTGCAGGCTACCTTTGGTATATCTGGTACCTTTCGTTAAGATATAGATCTTCTTACATAGTGTAACAAAACAACCAAAATAGAATTTCAACAAAGGGCATGACTCCAGGTAAATGTCAAAGAATAAACATGTCTCTGTTCTACTAGCTCTGTAAAAGAAGGGGGGGAAACATTGACTGTAGCAGAAGTGTAGTCCTTGATACACTATGCTACAGAAAGTAATGAACTACCAGAGGTAGAAGTCCATAGAACGGTATAATTCCTTCCTTTATAACTTTGTTCTTTTCTGATTATGTACATACATTTTAAAGGTCCTCCATCCTTCAAAAGAACATGGGAGGAGGGGGGCCTGCTGTGTGTAGTTGCTGGTAAGAAATCCTAATCTCAACATTGGTGTAAGCTCGAGGTGTCTATACATTTGAGCACTTCCTGTTTTCACTTCGTGATCAAATATGTTCTTTTGCAGGGCAAATAGGGGAGCACTTGAGGAAGGAAAGCAGAGATGTCTGAGAGGCTAATTGAATGTACTAAGGACTCCTTGGCGTAGAGGAAAAGGAGTATTCCAAAGCTATGAATAAATTCTCGGCTTGGGTCAGATTTCTTGCTGTTTCTTTTCTTTAACCACCTTTGAACTCAAATAAAAACAGCCTTAATGTCAGGTTTACCTTTCTGATGTCGTAATCTTTATGTACTATTGAAAAGCTTATACTAAGACTAGGATTTCCTCTACTTTCTTAAACACTGGATATTATCCAGAAAAAGCATACACATTTCCAATCAATTCATCCTCAGATCTTTCATCTTCTGGTACCATTGTAATTCCAAATGTAAGACAGAGCTCGGTAAGCAAATGAGAAGATGCGAGAAGCTCCTACTCCTTGCATTTAATTTCCAACAATAAAAACATGTATGTGTATCCTATTTCAAATATAATTAAAGTTACTGCAAAATGGAAGCTCTGATAGGGGTTAGAAATTGTTTTGAAAGACACAGCCTGTGAGGTATATTCATTCTACATCAGAGTTCAAGTGCCTGTCTCTTCAAAAAAAGCCACTTAGGCAATTCAGTTTTTAACACTGGCTACCTTAGCAGTTTGCAAACTGATTGAATAAGGGAAAAAAGTAACATTTTATTTAAAATCACAAATAAATACAATTAGTCAGAACTAAGTTACTCTTTGAATTTGACAGTCTAAAAGAATTTGAAGTTTAATCCATGCCATAAGAGATGGACTGCCACTGCCTCTCTTTCCAAGGAAACCAGAGGTTAATGATTTTTGTCATATTGAAACTAACAGCTAACAATTGCTACAGTTGGCCTTTAGTATTTTATTTGTCCTTTTGAGGTATTCAGAATAGGTGACAATGGCTTGCAGTTGAGAACATATGTAGAGAGACCCCTGTGGCTTATGGAAAAGTTGCTCTGTGCTGGTTGGGTGTTTGAAAAAAAAATACAACCAGAGCTCTTTTATGTTCCTCTCCTTAATGAATGCATGAATGTCAAAATGTACCAATGGCCCATTCAGGGGGCTGCCTAAGCAGCTCCTTCTTTAAGAACACATCCTGAGATGTAAAATACATTTGCTTAACAAATTAAAATAATGAGATAATTCAATTAGTTTATTTAAAAAAAAAAAAAGGAGAGAGAGAGAAAGAAAAAAGGGTACATCAGGGGATTATTGTAATACAAGAACAGGTCATACAGCACAAAGGAGGAACAAACCAATTTGAAATAAGGTTAGAGTAGTAATGAAGGAATGTACATTGAATCATGGACTGCCATTGTAAAGATATTTACTTGAAACAAAAAAATTGTACATCACAGATTCCCCCATTCTGGCTCAGCCAGCACTGCACTTTGAATGGACAAGCTAATTTGAGAAAAAATGCAAGATCTTTAAAAGAAAGGAGTTCTCTTCCTCCCTGCACGTGTTTATGGCAAGAATTTCTCTGAATTTACATTGCACTGGTCAGGGGTCTCCATTATCAGTTTGCAGGTCTGAGAATTACAGCACAGTAAATCTTTCAACACCTGCAAACTCATTAAAGCCTGGACAGTAAAAGGTTTGGGACTTTTTGTGTTCATTTAATTTGATTTTTTGTGAGACCATCCTCACCAGTGATGGCAAATTTCCCCAATTCATGCAGGATGAAGAGGGTCAGGAGAGAGAGGGTGGAATCAAGGAAAAGGGATTTCAAAAAGCCAGGAGGACTTTCCTCAAGAGAAGTGAGAGGCAGTTGGCTGTTAATAAGTATGTGTCGAATGCTTTCAATGAGCACATGAGAAAGGAAGACAGGGAGAAAAAAAACAAGGTATCACAAATTTCATGAGAGGAAATGGAATTAACACAGAAACATGTACAAAACAAACTGGTTTATTTGTGGCCCTGCTTTCTGCTGTCTGCCTATACTACTCCTCCAAACATATCCTACAGCTAAATGAAAAACCCTCCACTCACACTCACTCGACTTCCAAATTAAAAACATTTTACAGGTTAGTAAATCTCCAGCTGAGGTGATGTAGCAAAGAACAGCTGTGAAGTAATTTTGATAATGATGAGAATAATAAGCACATGGCAAGGTTCAGGGCTTTGCTGTTGCAGCTTCAGTGCTCCTGAATAGATAAAAGTGATTAAATACTCCTGATTATCCCTGACCAATATGTAATGGATTTACAGCCCTTTCAATTAGTCAGTATTTGCTTAGGACTCATTATTTTGTCTTTGGTTAAGTAATCAGCCCAGAGACTCATGTTCTGTCTAATTCCTCTGAGCCAAGTGGGTACAGGGCACCTGACCTTTGAAATGGCCATAGCTGGGAGGCAGAAATAACCACTACTCCAGCAGAGACACTGGCTATTTCAGCTAATCCTGACCCCACAGGCCAGATCAATGCACCTTAGTTTGCTACTAATGTCCTTACATCAAAATGATGGTTTAGAAATGTGGATCTATCACTCCCCACTTCAGCTGTGCTGCTAGAAGAGCAGTTCGATAGTCCCTATCATAAATAAATCCGGTACCTTGTCCTGAAATCATTACACTGTAACCAACATCAGCTACTGTGGAAATTTATAAAACTTTGGCAGAAGAGGTTAATAATAGTTAGCATTTTAAGCCTTTGCAAGTGAGAAACAATTTTACAGGGAGAGGAAGAAGAAAATCAATTGATACTTTTACCAGTTTCCATTATTTCCCACATGAAGTAAACTACAAAGAGTGCTACTCGGCGGAACCATGTTTTGATGCCTAAGTGAAGCTATAATAGTCAACAGAACACTAACACATAATCCCAATTGCAAGCAGGACAACAAAGATAGCTCACAGAAAGCATTGCTTTTTCACATATTTAATCTCTCTCCCCCAAATGTAAATATGGCTAGTGTTTTTTTTCATAATGGACTTACAGAGAAGCTATAAAGGTGTTTATTGCATCTGTTATGCAACAGGAGAATTAAGGAACACATAAGCCTTCTGTATTCGTCACAAAAAGTAGCAATGACAAGTTTGCAAATTGCTATGTTGGCTTCTCTAACATCCACAGTGTATTTCAGCACACAGTGACTGGGGTCTGTCTTCCACCAGATATGTGTGAAGATTTTGTAAGAAGAGGCCAGCAATAAAGAATCAAGAAGGCAGAGTTTTATAAATGCTAAAGCAAGAAACCCTCTTTTTTGTCCTTAGGAACATTTTTAATAGTTCAAAGCAAAAAATGGTTACTTTATATGTAGGTGGTGTTCCATGCTAGGGCTTTGTACTATCCCTCTTTCTCTCTATAGGCATGTATGTGTATAGATACACATATATATTTATAGGGTTTCTTTCAGATTTGTCATGATTCCAAGAGCCAAGAAAAAAAAATCTAGAAGAAAAAAAATTAGGCAGCAATAATTGAGCCTTAATAATAGTCTAAAAATTATGGGGACAACTGATTTCTAACAACGATGAACAAACTTCATTAGGCACATGAATAGAAATCTATTTTCATTTTGGGCACCACTTACTGTGAGATGCTGGAAAAGCCATGCTCTCATGATATTTGTTGCTACTTTGGGGAAAATGCCTCTTTTCTTCTGACGCTTTTTGTCCTTGTCTGGGTCATCGTCATCCCCTGTACCAGGTGAGGCTACGCTGTTGTCTAAACCGTCTCCTACAACAAAGGGAAAAACAGGAAGGAGACATTTAATGAACAAAATATAGAAGCCAAAAAGTATTATTAATTACCAACACACTAGATTTGCTAGATCAGACACATACTGTTTCTCACTATATACAAGTGCTGATACAAATAAGTAAAAATTAGAAACCATGTCTCTCCAAATACTAATTTTGTGTTTCACACATGCATATATCATTATTTCAATTAAATTGTGTGCTTGACATAGTGCAATAGCTCTTTGTCAATTATGGGATTCAATGTGGGAAAACCTGCCACAAGAAAACCCATTCACTGTAAATGCATCCCTACAACCATTCTGAATACGTACTATAAGTAATCAAGTTAAATGTTCTGTAGTCTATATATTCGAGGCCCTCTGCAGAGGTGGCAGTAACCATGTCACCGTTCAGTGCACATAACACACTGTCAGATGAACCCCTCCCCATAACCATCACCTCCCAACACACATACATACGCACGCACAAACACGTACACTTAGTATGACCCTGCATACAGCATTTGCATGACATGAAAACTACATCTCTGCATCAGTGATTATTATCATTAAAAAAAAAAAAAGAAAAAAAAAAGATGCACATCAAGGTAGAGCTCTCACTTAATCAGAACTTTCCATCAACATCTTTCTCTTCTGTGCTTTTCCCTGGCATTAATTGTGCATTAGCAAAAATCATTTACTTTTAACAGTCATAGTTATTTTTTCTTGCCCTCCAGCAAAAATGCCTTGAAAGCCTGCCTGGAGGGCATCTAAATTATGTATCTGAAAAACTCTTCTGGCAAGGCATTGCAGGACCCCTACTTTCTTAAAATTCATACGAGCACGTCTTCCTGTTTTTGGGAAGGCATCAATCAAGAGCAGCAATATATGCCATATTCCTACATTAATATTTGAACTAATAACTTTAAAAAAAGGAAAGAAACAAGATCCGACTTGTGACATAATCAAATGCAAAATAAATGAAGAATACTGGGACAGCACTGAGACTTTATAGATTGCTGTGTTTTCCTTACACATCATTAGCCCGGAGCCACACGAAAGAGGAAAACAGAGAAGTGGAGAGTTTATGCTCCCTGCTGGTGTTTAAGAAGCTGAGGTCCTGGAAGGACATCTGGGAATTGTGCTGAGACGGTGGTTTTTGTAATTTAAGAATAGACATTCATTAGCAGTAAATGCCATAAATCCCATGCTAAGTAAAAACCTTGTCCAAGAAAGCCTAAAACAATAAACTCTGTGCTCAATGTAGCCTGAGCTAGACGCTCCATAGCTTCCTGAGGAATGCTATAGATTCATGAGCTAATTCCTATAGCTTTGTCTAGCTCTGTAGTGCTACTAAACAAAATACGTTGCTGCTACATACAGTCCATTTGCTTCAAAACTTGCATTTCAGCTCCATCTTCCCTCCTGTGCCAGATCACCCTTCTTCCACTGCCTCCCCTTTGAAAACCCAACCCTTTTGGACCAGAGAGACAGAAAAAGCCACAGCAAAGAGCTGGCAGATTAATTTTATTGACATTTCCATTTTCACTGCAATGTGATACCCTCCATCACATGGAAGAGATGACCCTCACTATTTACAGACTGACAGGCCACTTCATTACAACCACCCTGCCCCAAGGCAGAGCAGCTCCTTTCCATCTGCCCAAACACCAGAGCAAGACCCTGAAGTCACTGCTCTCTTTCTCATGCTTCTTTTTCTTCCTTTTTTTTCTTATTTTTTTCTGTTTGTTTCTGTTAAATACAGAGAAACGAGACTCAAATCACAGCAATCAAAGAGATTATGGAAGCCCTAAATGCTGTAACCAACTGTTCGCTTTTGCAAGATGTTGGTCATTTAGAAAGCACTCCTATCCATTGCTCTGTACACACACCCCCCCCCCAGTATTCCACCCTACCCCTCTCTCTCTCACACACACACACTCGCGCGCGCACACACGCACACACACTTTCCACTATGCCAAGGAACTGCTGCAAGGCAAATTCTCACAAACACTAATGGCTTCTGACTGCTCCTTGGCAACCCCAGCATTTTAACCTGGGTGGATATGCTCTCCAAAATACAGACACTGGAGCTATCTCATCAGCTGTTCATGTGACACAGATGGAGAGTGGCTATTAGGAGCCAGGCAATGGGCCTTGGGGATCTGAGGTGCTGTACTGTAGCCTCGGGCAATTTTGAAAAGCCAGAAAGTACCCAGAGTCGGGGGGGGGGGGAAATCCCTACTGAAAGTGCAAGTTTGAAGTCAGTCAGTCTGTTTGTCTATCTGTCGTGCAGATAAAGATATATTTGTCTCTTTATGTAAAAGCTATGTGTGCATGCACAGGATGCGTGGACCTGCAAAACTTCTGCTCTGCACCACCCTTTGGCATCACAGAAGCATTTGTTCACTCTCTGAATGGACAAATTCCGGTTTGTCTGCATATACATACTTTCCTGTTTGTGAGCATCCTCAGCAGAAGGCACTTACATGCTAAATCAGTGTTGAGACCTTTTGGAGAGTTTTAAAAAGCCAGTAGCAGCCCAAGAGAGGAAAATTCGGCTGAAGCTCCCATTGCCTTCCCACCTTACCCAATGATGAGTCAGTGCTTCCCCAATCTATTCCGTAACCTCAAGGAAGAAAATTCAAATATCGTGCCTCCAAATGACCTCAAAAGATAAATACAGCAAGACTTGTTGCTCTTGGTGAGCTACAGACACAATCCTGTTAATTTGTATTGTCATGTCTTTAATAGGACTACAACTGCTCACACTAATGGATACTGTTTCTAGTGGCAAGAAATCATAGAAGTAGCCCATAACAGATTTTTCAAGATGGCCTGATTTGCTTTTTGGATACGGAGATCCTGATCCTAGTCTGCTGTATCCAAATAAACACAACTTACTTTAAATGAAGAAAACAAAATTATCAACAGTGAAATAAAGTGAACTGACTTGAAAGTCATACTATGGCAGAATGGATCAACTATATTTTTAACTGCTGTATGAAGGAATCTAAATTTAAATCATTTAAACCATCATTACAAGTGATTCTGCTCATGTGAACTGTTCATATTCTGATTTGGATGGTAATTTGTAAGAAGATTAGAGTCAAATTCTAATTTGTATGGAAATTGCAACTATATAAGCACAATTACCCCAGTTTTCTAGTGGCAAAATGAAGTCTAGATGTTGGCCCACTGACACTGTCTTCCACACAGCAGAAAAAAAAAAAAAAAAAAGTGACTTTCTCCTGCTCTGCACACTGTTCACTCATATATTCTTGTGCAAAGAGTACAAGTGATAGCAAAACCCTATCACTGTTCTAGGAAAGCGGAGAATTCTTGAGTGGCGCTCTCTTTGTGGAGGTGTCAATGACAGTGCGGGATTCAGGCCAGTAGAGAATTACACAAATTAGCCAGCTTGTTTCAGATTATATCAATGCTGTGTAATAATCTCAATAACCCCTGTAAGAGATGGAGAGAGTTTAGATGAAGTTTGTTTGTAAAGTGACCCACAGAGGATTCCTTAGAGACCTTCTCTTCTAGCAGAAGGTTTTATGGAGGATGCTGAAGTTGCAAGTCTTCTTCACACAGTGGGAAGTTGGGGAAGTTGGACTTCCACACAAGCTCTGTGTGCAGATACTTTGCACATTTTGAGGGTTTCTTCCCACAAGGTAAACTATTTTACATTGAAAGCAAAGGAGGCTACCTCTTATCTTAAAAATACCACATAACTAGTTAGAGCAGGGTTGCCATTGCATCATAATTTCAGATTTAACTTGCTACAAACTGATTACCTTGGACAGTTTAGCTTGCTGACACTAATGTTCACACTACTGAGGAGTTTTCAGGAAGCAGAGTCCAATCCTACAGAAGGCCTGTCCAACATTATTGCATCAATGAATTCCTCTTTGACAGTCCTCCACACTACCACTATTATCTCAACCCTAGTCTTTGAGTTCCTCACAGAGTAAGGCCCCAGCAAAAGATTAAGAAACTGCTGTTTATAAGATGCTCATCTAGTCTTTTCACTATTTGTGAACAGGATAACAAATTCCCAATCTATTCAAAATGGTAACTGAAAAAGATAACTCAGTCAGGCCAAAGTACAGAAGCCCAGATTCAAACTCTAGAAATAGTTCCTATTACCATCATAACAAGCTGAGCAGTAAGAAAAGTGATTTCTGGAATACTATATTTTGGGAACCAGTATTTGAGTTCCTTCACTGTCAGAGGTCCCTTACAGCTTATGGTTTACCATGCTAAACAAAAAGACAGAAGAGAAGGGGTATCTAAAATGAGGGGGAGACAAGACACTTCACTGTATTTTCTATGAGTAGTGTAAGCAATATGAAAGTGAAGTTAAAGGATTCTGAAAAGGAAAGCTGCAGTGCACTATGCTGATCTTAAGTAAACTACTCTACAATCTTTCAGTCCAGTATTTTGATGAGTAGAATATGTAGATATGAATGCAAAACAAGAAAATCGGCATGCAGCTTATAGTCACATTTGCAATTATTTGTTTGTACTTCTAATGCGTCCATCTGGTCACGTAAGTATTGTAAATCGTTATTAATAAGGATGTTCAGCTTAGTAAATGATCCACATCACCAGCAGAGAAAAATCTTAAAAATCTGGTTAATTACCACTGCCAAAAAGCTGGAAAGAGAATGTTTTGAATATGTTTTGAAGATAAGACAGTCTGTGCTGCAGGGAGGACTAATAGTGAGGGAAGGTCAGCTCCAGAATCAAAGACCCTTCAGGAGAACTCCTTATCTCCATTCCACCCTGTTAAAATCATCAGTCTTTTTAGCCTTCCAGCTTCAGAAGATCACAAGTCTTTGAATGAAGTGCTGGCTATGGGTTTGGGGTTTTATCCCTCCTTTTAGTGATCCCTGTTCATGGAAGTTGACTTAGTGTCCTCACACCACAGAAGCAATGTTTTTCTACTGCGTCTTATTGCCTGGGGAAACTGAATTAGGACAGGTTATGGGTG